AAAAAAAATGTTAATCCCGAGTGAAAGCGTTGATTCTGATCCAGCGAGACCAGATGAATTTCTGCCGATGAATTACACCTGACCAGGGGCGATTTTCGGTGAAAGCGAGAGCAACTGTACGAACAGAGGGCAGTGAGAGAGCCACGCGGTCGATTCTCTCTCGCGCGTCGTGGTGGTCACGCAACCCTCGCGCGAGTTCCACGCCCTTGCACCTCGCGGTAGGTGTTAAACACGGGCAAGGTTTCTCGGTTTCACGGTCGAAATCGATACGGGAGAGTCGGCCGACTCCAGACCCGGGGAAACCAACGAGAAATCAACGAGCAAGACGACGACGATGGTTCGATCTCGTAATCTCGCTCTTGACCGGTGAAAGTTTCGGAGAGATACGTTTCGGATACTCTGCGTTGCATAACCGTGCGCCTGTTACTCCAACGATGTGTGGCCACGCTCGAGCGAGCGATTATATTCGCGTCGGGGTTTTTAAATCGACGATCTCTTTCGATTATAAGATTCCTTTGTTTATGCTCGGATGAGACCTAGGCCGAATCAAAAATGTATTTCAACAGTTTTTCTCTCTTTGTGTCACTTGTGCAATTTTGCTCAAGTCTCTTGTTAACAATATCTGAAACTGTGTGTCGTTTTTGGTCTGACTGAAATCCACTAAAAAGACGAATTAGAGAGAGAGAGAGAGAGAGAGATGGAATTTCCGTAAATGAGATAACAAGAACCGCGTCCGGCCTATATGGATCAGTGGATGCGGAGGCCGCGTAACCACTCGTTGGCGCGTAACTCGTACCAACGATTACGAAACTCGTTTGTACGCGAATTACCACGACGTGTCTGGTCTCGTTTCGTCTCGTCTCGTCTCGTCTCGTCTGGTCGTTGTACTATAATCGTGCGTGCTACTGTGCATCCGGTCTCGAGCGAAAGTGCTCGCGAACCGTTATGGAAAGAAAGCCGGGAAATGGATCTCTCTCTCTCTCTCTCTCTCTCTCTCTCTCTCTCTTTCTCTATCGACGATCGACATTCTGGTTAGTATACCTGGCTATGCTTCAAGTTGCACGTAAAAGGGTACTCTTTTTTTTTTTCCACCTCACCTCGCCTCGATATCGATCTGTCCCTTGATTTTGTAACGTCGCGCGTTTGTTCTGCTCTCGGTTTTTTTTTTCCCCCCCGAGATTGCGGCAAGCTGTTGCACCACGTTCCGGTAGTAGCCTAGATGTTATCTAGAAACGAGCCAGATTTAAAGAACAATGACGTCGCCTTTTCTCGTCGCCAGTGAAATGTTCCACGCGCCATTTAATCGTCAGAAACTGTCACACTTGACAAATACCATCTTGTTATTTGCACGTGTTTACGCGGAGGGATCTCGACGAGGGCCACTAAGATCGACGTAATTCTTGTATTCGTAACGATGCTTCCGACGAGATTTCCCTTTGCCCGTCCAAAGGAAAGCTCTGGCCCGCGACTTTCCGTTTTCTATCCGATTTCTACGGGTGTCGCAATGACCCGCATTCTCGCGTTCCTTCGCGCGAGGTCCGATTCGGACGCGGATCGCTGTGAAACGATATCGTCCGTTCTACGTCGTAAAAGATGAGTCGTGCAACTAAGAAAAACGCTCTTCTCGGCAACCAAGTATCA